TGCTCCCTTGCAAGTACTACTCCACGGCTCCCGAGCTGGCACACCTCTTGCACACCGGCTGGATTTGCGGCCACGGTGTACCGGAAGACATAATCAGCGACTACGACACACGCTTCATGTCGGCATTTTGGACTGCTCTCATGCAGGAGTCCGACACGAAGATGAAACCAAGTTCGGCTCGGCATCCACAGACGGACGGGCAAACGCAGCGGGCACATCAAACCGCCCAAATGATGCTTTGTACGCTCATCCGTCCGGACCAGAAAGATTGGGTTGACCGCCTCCCCGACATCGAGTTCGCCCACAACACTTCGGTGCACCCGGCGATCGGCGTGACTCCATTCGAGTTGCACCACGGTGGACGGAAAGGCCGTATCTTCGCCGACCTTCTCCTCCCACGACCAGCCGACATCGACGCCGCTTGCTCTCCCGCTTCCGTCCGGAAGTACAGGGAATTGCTGGCTCAAGCCCGCACGAACATACAAAAGGCTCAAGTTCGCATGCAGCAGCAAAGCCAACAGGCGTCGCGTGCCATGTCCCATCCGCGCTGGTGATCTGGTTTGGGTCTCCGCGGAAGAGTTTGCACTGGAACAGGACGTTTCATGCAAACTGCTTCCCAAGTGGTTTGGACCATGGCCCGTAACATCAGCCGCGGGCGATGAGCCCAATGGCCCTTCATTTGTGATCAACATCCCCTCGCATCTGACGGTCCATCCAATCTTTCATGCCTCGAAGCTGGCAACATATACACCATCTAAGAGCGACGACTTCCCGGGCCGACGATCGCAGGACCCTCCATCTATGGATGGTCATCAGGAAGTTGACCGCGTTCACTCGATCGCAAGTACGGCAGCAAGCCTCGGCAGTACAAAGTTACATTCAAAGCATGCGATCCTGACGACACTCGGTGGATTTCAGGAACAGATTTGAAAGCATCCGCACCGCTGATCTACGCTCACTACGAGCAACAAAGGTTAGCTCAGGGACCTTCACGACCTGCCCCTCCCACCCGGACTGTGGTCCCTCCCTCAGACAAACAGCTTCGCCCTCGCAGGTAAGCTCGGTC